CCCCCAATCCGCTGCCCCACTCACCCCCCCCATCATACATATCTATTACAATTCCCTTGACTCCAATATATAGTCACTGGATGTGGAGTATAATCAGTTGATTTGAAATAGAGGAGATTATCCCAAATAATCTGGGTGGGCCTAATTCAATCAGTTGAAAGTTTTTAAGAGCAAAACCTTTTTGAGAAGAAATTCTGCCTCAGGAAGGCAGTATCAGCGCCTGCTCAGTCCCCAGCCTGTGGGCCCACCCTACAGATTTCAGACTTGCCATCCCCTTGCAATCACGTAAGCCAATTCCTTGAACATATATTGTGGGGTATAGGGGTTCTCTGGAGAGCCCTGACCTATATGCATCCCACACTGAGAATATAACCTCCATGAGAGCTAAAGCCTTGTTTGCCTGATTCACTTTTGTACCCCCAGCCTCAGAACAGTTCCTGGCACACAGATGACGCCCAGGGAGTATCTGCTACCCAAATGGGTATTTATCAAAGGCCCTGGCACTCCTCACTGCCTGCACATGGCCATCAAGTCCCAGGGACTCACTCTTCCGAAATTTCTCTCACATGCATTGCTTTTCTCTTCTCAGTGCTGCTCCCTCATTCATAATCTCATTAACTTTTTTTCTTTTCTGTATTTTTGCAGTAACATTGAAACTGGTCTCCATGCCAGCAGTCTTTTCCTGCTCTCTTCATCCCACTCATGCTTGCCAGATTTAGCTTCCTAAAATAAAGTAGGAGTTATGTCGCCCCCTTGTTCCGTTTTGCTATGTGCTAGAAACGGGGTACAAAGATGGATAAGACAAGGTCCCTCTTCAGAGCAACGCCACAGTCCTTCAGTGGTTCCCTGGGAATTACAGTGTAAAGGCCATCGAAAGGCCACGCTCCTGGGTCCAGTTTTCCAACTATTCGATCTTAGGCAAGTCTCAGCTCTCCAAGTCTCAGTTCCTCAGTTGTGAAATTTTATCTTATAGGCTTATAGGTATGGAGTTCGCAAGTGAATGAGTGCGAGTGTGTGTGTGTGTGTGTGTGTGTGTGTGTGTGTGTGTGTGTGAGAGAGTGAGAGAGAGAGAGAGAGAGAGAGAGAGAGAGAGAGAGAGAGAGAGAGAGAGAGAAATACCTACAAAGCTTTAACCATAAGTCCTGGCCTTCCTTAACTGCAAGCCACCATTAATCTTATTAATAGCACCATTGCATCTTGTTTTTAGATATTATGCTATTACTCGGATTTCTGCTCTTCAGAATAAACTTTCTAATGTTGAAAGCAAGTAACTGCAAATCTAAAAAAATCAAAGGGGGAACTAAGGGCAAAAAGAAAGTGCTGAAATGACATGTAGGTTGATCATGCTGGTTATTAACTAACATTCATTTATTTCTAGCACCATACTGCTTGTGCTAACCATCAAATATGAAGACTACCGGTACATCTGTATAATTGGAATGGTAAAACATTTTTTTCCCTCCCAAATAGAAAGAAAAATACAATTCACTAGATACATAAACAAAGGAATAGGGAAAGAATCTGGAGTTTAGGGAAATGCACAAAAAAGCTCAGTCAACATCTCTAAGGCAAAGTCCATCTCCACTCGTGCTATTCATAGGATATGCAGTCAAGCATCGGCCCTTCCCGTTTTAACAAAGGCTGCGTGAGCAAGTACATCCAGAAAAACACGGGCAAGAGATTCGATCTCAACTCTCCCGACAAGCTGGAAATGCAGCTGAGGGTTGACCAAAACTCTCCTTCCTTATGCACCAATGGGGAGCACACATTTTTGACACCTGACCAAAGATGATGTCGACGGCTGCACAATGATGCCAAGAGGATTGTGAATAATAAAATAGGTTCTCATATTTTTAGCAGTAATGAAAGCCCAGCTCAACCTGGTTCCCCATCTCCTACCTTGTTTCCTGTTGTCCTTTCACCTGTATGTGTGGCTCCTGCCCCGAGGAAATGACACTTCCCCCACCTGGAGGAGGAAGGGCCATTCTGGCCTCTCCACCTCATTCCCGCTTGCAGGCTGACCTTGCCACCCTGCCACTGAGACTAGGATCCCAGGGCTTTCCTTCCGGCACCAGCGCAAGCTGCGCCATTCCCCTCGGTGAAATAGTCATCAGAGAACGGAGCCACTCAGAGACCTAAGGACCCCCTTCTCCCAGGCACCATTAACTATTAAATAAAACACATACAGTGCTTCTATGGGTAGCTGAAATGTTTCCTCAGCGCCTCTGAATCTGCTTTGCAAAGTTGGCAGTGAAGCAAGAGTGAGTTTTTAACTGATAAATACTAATTTAATTGAATTGTTAAACAATACCTACTGGTTACCAAATGCCTACTATGTTCCAGACACGTTCCATACATTAACTCATAGCAACCCTACGAGGTAAGAATGATTGTTCCCATTCTATGGCGGAGGAAGCTGAGGCCCATTAAAGTAAATTAAATTACCCTAAGAGCTAGTCATCTGCATAGCTAGGACTCAAACCCAGTCCAAGCCCAGTCCTATAGGTGGTGTTTTTACCCCATTCTCTACTCCAGGTCCTTCCGCCCCCCACGAAACTGTCATGAGTAAGAGGGCGGGGGCGTGGGGGGAGTGGGAGGAATTCAACGTTTCATTCTTTCCAAATGTATTTTTGTGCTGCAGCTTCAAGGAGGCAGTATCTTAGTTACAGAGGGTGGGGTCGAGCAAACCCAAAGGGAAGAGTCATCTGCCTTCAGCGCGTTCGCTTGGCTGCAGAAGGGAAGGCTGCCGAATAGTCTCGGAGAGTCTGCTTGATTTATCTGTGCAGAGGTTAACAGTGCCCTCTACATGCTATGTACCCCCATTCTCCACCGCCCAGTGGGGCTGGGAAACATGAGTTGGCAGCTCCTTCACCTCCACACAAAATTTTCAAATGTGTAACCTAAAGTGCCCTGGAGAGTAACACCCACTTTTTTTTTTTTTTTACAATGTTCTTGTCGATCTGGTCTGGTTTCTCTTTCTTGCCTTCGCTTTCTAAAATACAAACATGATACCACTCTCTAGACTTGAAATGTTTCAGCTGCTCTCCACTGCCTATAGCGCAAAGTCAAAATGCCTGAACACAGCACACAAAGAACACATCCAATCTGGCCTTGTCACATGTCACATCTTCTAGTTGCCCCCATGTTCACCCAGCACTCTCACCAGAACTCTGGAATGCCTTTCTCATTTTTTTTTTTTTTTTAATTAGTGTGGCAAATCTTGATCACATTTCAGGTCACAGCTCAGAGGTCCTTTCTCTTCCCACACCTCTTTTCTCCAAACTCTACCAAGGAGAGTTAGTTCTTTTTCCTCTTCTCCCTATTGTATTTCCCCC